AGAGTTGGTGGAGACATGGATTTGATGGACGAACTCTATAACAGTGCCAACTGGCCGTGTGGAGTGACGATTCGGCGCTTTACATTTTTTCGAAAGGTTTCCTCTGATACAAACCAGGGTAGGTGACAATAGTTCTTTTACAATGGCTAACATAAACCTCCAGTCACTAACAAATAAAATGGATCAATTTATGTATTTCCTGAACGAACAAAATGTCGATTTGGCATGTGTGACAGAACATTGGGCCTCATATGAAATACTTGAAAGGATAAACTTACAGAATCATAAAGTCGGAAATGCCTTCTGTCGTTCGTCCTCACGACACGGTGGTGCTGCAATTATCATAAGAAACGACATATCTTTTAATGAGCTGAACGAGATAAGAAATCTTTCTGTTGATAGGGAAATTGAAATTGCGGCAGTCAGACTAAACAAATTTAACATTATTGTTATTGCCATATATAGACCACCTTCCAGTGATATACACCTATTTTTGTCTATTTTGGATAATGTTCTTGAGAGCTGCTATACGGAGTATTGTAGTGCGACCATCCTGGTTTCAGGGGATTTCAATATTGATTTCATTAAACCTTCGAAAAATAAAAATGAACTAATTGAGTTGTTTCGATCATTTGATCTGGACCATGTCTTTGATTTACCGTCACGTGAAAATAAACACTCTAGTACTTGTATTGATAATATATTTACAAATATATGCCGGGATGAGTGCAAAAGTATAACCTATGAACCTCATCTGTCGGATCACCGCGCCCAAATTCTTAAGTTTCCAGTTGTTCACCCAGCTCCTGCAAACAAAAAATTCAAAATCGTTAGGAAAATAAATGAAAAAAATACTTACCGATTCATTGAGCATCTGAAAATGGAAAACTGGTCCTCCTTGTACACAGAAAATGCCGAAGACCAGTTTAATGGTTTTCATAACAGACTCATTGAAATATTCAGTGACTGCTTTCCTGAAACAAAAATAAAAATAAAACAAAGAAAAAAATATGAGCAGACGAGGGATATCAAATTGATAAAGAGCAAAGTGGATGCTGCTCACACAATTGCTAGGGTGAAAAATGACGAGAATAGCATGGAACTTTATAATCAGCTGAAAAATTTCCTCAAGGAGATCATTACGAAATCTATAAAAGCAAAAAATGCAACGAAAATACACAAAGAAATAAATAAAATTCAAGCTGTCTGGAGACTGATAAACCAAGAAACGAGAAAAAAAGGCAACGGAAGCAACCCACCAGAGGAAATATGCATCTCAGCAGATGAGCTAAATGATCATTTTGTTTCCGCTGGCAGACAGAGCAAAGAAAGGGCCTCACCACAAACATCGGAGGAATTGTTGAGGAACTGTAGGCTTGATGTTTCGGAATCATTGTACGTGTTCCCTGTAACTGAGATCGAAATATTGAAACTTGCATCCAGTCTAAAGAATAAGAAATCGAAAGACATTTATGGTATGTCTGTATCTCTATTGAAAAAAATTGTGCCCTTCATTAAAGAACCTTTGAGTAGGATTCTCAATGACTGCATTGACCAGAATATATTTCCCGATAGACTCAAGGTAGCTCTTGTCACTCCTATTTTCAAGAGGGGTGACTCTCATAAGTCTTCTAGTTACAGACCAATATCGATCTTGCCCACTATCTCAAAGATCTTTGAGCTAGCCCTAAAAAATCGATTACTAAGTTTCCTTGAAAAACGGCTCCTTCTGAACGGTGGGCAACACGGATTTCGTAAGAAAAAATCAACGATAACAGCTATGATTGATGTATTGGAAGTCATTATGGAGGCCTACAATGATGGTGAGGATGTGGAAATGATCTGCATTGACCTCAGTAGGGCTTTTGATACCGTCTGCCACGAAATTCTCCTAAATAAACTGAGCTTCTATGGTATCAGGGGGAAAGCTCATCAGTTGTTCTCGTCCTACCTACAGAATAGGTATCAAGCTGTGAAGTGGAATGATGGAGTGTCTAATCTTGCGAGTGTCGAGACTGGGGTGCCGCAGGGGTCTATTCTGGGACCACTGCTGTTTATCATTTTTACAAATGATATTTTCGAGAATATTACAGCAAGTAAAATTTGTAGTTATGCGGACGATACTGTATTTTTGAACAGATCAAGCTGCTTGGGTGGCCTCCAAGTGGTGACCCGGAGCTGCGAAGTGAAGGCTCAGGAGTGGTTTACGGCGAATGGTCTGTTGATGAACCCACAGAAAACACAAAGCCTACTATTTACTAACAGGGAATATAACAACTTATCCCTCAGATATCTAGGCTTGGATTTTCAATCATCCCTGAAGTGGAACAATCATATTGATACATTGAGTAGGAAATTGTCCACAGCAATATTCATGATACGCAGAATAAAGCAAATAGCAACTACTGATGTAGCTAAACTCACCTACTACTCAGCTTTCCACAGTCTCGCGATTTATGGTATCATTTTGTGGGGTCAGTCTGGAGAGGCTCACAAAATTTTTCTACTACAAAAGAAAGCAGTTAGAACATTGTATGGTATGAAGGTTACAGAAAGCTGTAGAGATATATTCAAGAATGAGAGGATACTCACAATTCCTTCAGTTTTTATACTCACATGTGTAAATTTTGCACATCAAAATCCAAATAAGTTCCCCAGAAACTCTTCCTATCATTCTCATGACACACGAGAAAGAAATAAGTTTGCTTTGCCTTATGCTCGAATAAAGAAAGCTCAGCAGGGGCCAAACTACACCTGCCTTAAGCTCTACAATAAGTTACCGGATCGCCTGAAGAAGTTGACACCCGCAGATTTCAACAGGGAAGTGAGGAGTATTTTGTTGAGAAATACTTTATATAATGTTGACGAGTTTTTTAAACTAGTTTGTCTTTGAATGTAAATGTGTATGATTGTCCTTTACAATTATCTGTTTTTATATTTAAATCATATTTGTATTTTCATTTATATTGACAAGTCATGTAACTTTGATGACAACAATCTCTACATCTATATGTTTATCTGATGTCACATTTTAATTAATAACTTATAGTGTAGAATGATAATAATGAAATGATAATGATAACCGAATGGGATTCATTTATTTTCTGAAAACCAAAGACGAAGTTCTGGAAACTTTTAAGAACTTCAAAGTTATGGTGGAAAAACAAAAAGGAGTTCCAATAAAATGTATAAGATCTGATAATGGAGGTGAGGTCTGTTCGAACGAATTTGAAAATTATTTTAAGAAAACAGGCATTATTCTTCAGACAACAAACAGCTATACTCCTGAACAAAATGGTATGTCAGAAAGACTTAATAGAACATTAGTCGAGAAAGCAAGATGTATGTATGTTGTCAGATGCAGGCCTTGGAAAAGAACTTTGGGCAGAAGCAGTCCGTTGTACTATGTATCTTAAAAATAGAACAATAGTTTCTGGAAATGATAAAACTCCATATGAAGCTTTGGACAAATAAAAAGCCAAACTTAAATAATTTGAGAATTTTTGGAAGTAAAGCCATGGTGCATGTGCTCAAAGAACAAAGAAAGAAATGGGACAAGAAATGATATTCATTGGATATGATTGATATACGAAAGGCTATAGATTATATGATTCCTCGAAACGTAAAATAAAAATTTAGTCGAGATTAGTGAATTATTAAAATTAGTGAAACATTAGAAAATAAATTGATTTATCTGAATTATTTACGAACTGATCAGATGCCAGCGGACATTTTCACAAAAGGGCTGTGAAGGGATAGTTCTTAGAGTGTGTCCAATTGAATATTTGAACTAGTGGGGGTGTTGTTAATAAGCAATAAATAGTTCAAACATTCAATAGTTCTAATTTATGAAGTAGTAAGTAGGCATAAGAAAAAGTGTAACGCGCATGCGTAACAGTAAATATGTAGATCTAAAGTTTAGTTTTTACTTAGCTACGAATCTGAGCGTTTCATTTCAATATAATAACAAGAGGTAACTGATATTCCTGTCCTAGACTGCAAACCCAATTAAACACTGAAAATACATATCTACGGTCGGTAAACATTCAACAATATATATATATATATATATATATATATATATATATATATATATATATATATATATATATATATATATATATATATATATATATAAAGAATTTAGGTAACGGCAATAATCGGTCTTGTGAAGTGTTTGAAAATTCATTTATTCATTTTAAAAATTTTCACAAAATTTAAAACAAAGAGTCACACAACACAAAAGTGATAGTCGTATTGGAAAACGATCTTGTGCATTAGCATGTCACGTCCAAGACTCGGATCACAATTTTGATTACGAAAATATTGAAATTTTGGATAGGGAGAGTAATCACAGAAAGAGATTATTTTTGGAAATGGCACATAATATACACAACACAGACAAACTCATCGTCAGATATTGAAAAATTAAACATCATTCATAACGATATTTTTAACAATATAACTGAAAAAAATATATATATATATATCTATATCTATATGCTTCAATATAGACATTTTAAAAGTAGAAAACAAAAATACTCTAACTATTCTGTTGCTCCTAACGATGTCATTTGGAAACATGAATTAAATGTGCGAATTGACTTCAGGAACAGGCTAGAATCTGGATCTGTACCGATATGTAAACCGTGCAATGGTTCAGGTGATTTTTCAATTTCAGTTAGTTGTACTTTTCCTGATGAGCAACACATCCCAACTGGCTCATTTCCAAAGTACCAATAACCACTTTGGAATGAACATAATATTCAACATCAGGCTCTTACTGGAATGCTTGTCGAAAAAATTAATCTGATGGTAATACTCGATGAACTTGGCGTTGTTGGTCAATTCCTCTACGTCTGTCGACTATGAATCTGCGAGTTTCTATTCTTTCTAATTGTCTTTGTTGATTTCGTTCATCTCGTTCTTCTTGTGATTGTGATTCTCGTAACTGCCCCACTCTTACACGCATATCTGCATTGTTTTCTTGAACTTGTTGATCCTCGCTAGCTTAGTTAGAAAAGCTGCAGGGCGTAAACCTGAAACGCCTGGGTTCAAATCCCAGTCGAGTTCCAAAAACTTTTGAATGTAACTTTGATTCTCAAATTTTCATTGGTCAATTTATAACCAAAAACACAATACATATACCTATTCCTGTTCATATATGAAATTTGCAAAAAATTTTTTTCACTGCCTTTCCAGAATTTTACCCAGCAATAAATACAAGCCATTAAAACACCATTGCGTCCATTGAAATGTTATATTTTTAGGCCTGAACGTGCGTTTCTCAGAGAACGCAACTTTATTGTTGGGATGTGTGGAGGTGATTATTAACTGCTTAACTCCACGTTAATGGAGTTACAACACTTATCCCACGGCCGCCATATTGGAAAAAGATGTGCAAACACCTTTTTCCCTATATCTCGCAAACTATAAATTCCACAAATATTATTTCACGACAAAATGACAGGCCATGAAGTCAGGCCATTTTTGTAGATAGACTTTAAGCTAACATTTTTGCCTATCGTTTTTTTCGATTTCGTGCGTTCATGGGGGTTTCAAGAATCCGGGAGTTTCACCGGATTATTACCTACTATTCGTAAAAGTCAGTCTTACTTTCATTTTATTTTTATACATAGTTTTCAATATTTTCCGTAACGTTTCTATGTTATTGTTCGATTAATATTGACCGTTTTTACTACCATAAAACTTTTATGGTAGTAAAAATTTTATGTAGTATTTATTTCATATAATAACATAATAATAATAATAATTTCTAATGAGAGTCTACATTTACAGGAATCCTAGCAGGTAGAAAAGGTCCAAGCTACCGTTCGGGGATAAATGAACATCTGTCTGCTGTTACTATTAATATTATAATTTACCCTTGAAGCCTCAGGTGTTTCTTCCTCGCTCTTCTCTACTTATATTTTCAATTGTGCTACATATCTCGTACAATTGTGGACGTATAAGGTACATGAGGGTATTGAGGCCTAGCTAAAGGGAATTAGTTGTAAAATATTGAAAGAACAACTTAATCAACTACTTTTATTGGTAATCAGTCGTTTATTTATGGTACTGCAAAATAGAACAAAAAATATCAACTTCTGGTTACAACATATATAAATGAACTTTTTGGAAACACTCTTAATAGGCCTTATTATAATTAAGTAGGGTAACAAGGCCTATATTTTATATTATAAAAGTAATCAACTCAAACACTAAAATTTGGTTCTTGAGCTCAGTAATCCTTATACATAATAGCACAACAACATATAAGTATTCTTAAAATAAAATATTGGACCTCTTTGAACATCCAGCAGGACATATGAAGTCATCACAACCATCCACTGACAAACCGACGCACTCCTCATGATACATACCACTTAAAACATTGAGAGCACTCCTTCATGTCATCCATGTGGTCTTAACAGGCATGAGAGTACCAACTCCCTTGATTGCATGCAGTGTTCTTGGTTCTAGTAGATCCGTGAGAAGACGATTTTGCTTTAGTTGTTTTTGAAGTGAATTTAATTTTTGAATAAAATATCTTTATTGTAGAGAAAACAAATTTCTTACAAATGGTAGGAGTTTGACGAATCATTCTTCCACTCCTCCACAAATACAATGAACATACATTAGATAATAATACAAAAATATTAGATAAATATAAAAAAATTAAACCAAGATGAAACTAATGATTGAAGTCTAATAAGTGTAGACTTCGTAAACTAAGTGATTAATTATCCATAAAACTGAAAAAAAAACTTCGTATAATGCACAAAATAATAAAAATTAACACATAAAAGGATGTGGTGAGCATGTTCATATTGATGACTTTGCCTTGAAGTGCTGCGAATACTCGCTGACAGAATAAAAGCAAAATCTCAGAAGATATTTCTTGATGTTTGTTTTGAATTTATTGAGAGAAAGCTCTTTGAAGTGAGAAGGTAAGACATTGTATAAATTATAATCTATCGAGTTTTTTTTCGACTTATTTAGACGATATTTATTTGTTCGGATATTATTTGCGCCTCTTGTATTATAATTATGTAGATCAGACTGTTTTGTCAGTGTATCTGCATCCTAATGTATTTCTAGAAGAACGTTATATATCCACAATGTAGGCAAACGAATAATTCCATATTTTATAAATAATGGTCTGCATGAATCCAAGTAACCAACGTCTGCCATTATTCGAATTGCCTTTTTCTGTAACCTGAAAACTACTAAGGCGTTGGAACAATTTCCCCACAGAACAACGCCATAACTCAAAAATGAGTGAAGTAGAGAGAAGTATGTAATTCTCAATGTGGTATTGCTCGTTATAGTTCTCATTCGTCTAAGCAAAAATAGAGTACCGGAAAGTTTTCCTTTCAGTTGTTCAATATGGTCTTTCCAAGTAAGTTTGCTATCTAGTGTTACGCCAAGCAGCTTTGCAGTATTTTTTACCGCAGGATTATCGAAGTGATTAGATGAAAATACTAAATTTTGAGTTTTGTCATCGTTCAATTTGAGTTTGTTTGCCGTGAACCATAATTGAGACTTGGTATTTACGTACGTGGTTTTTTCCTCCAAACCTGAACGATTTCTATCATAGTAAACAAAAGTGGTGTCATCCGCGAATAATAACGTTTTCAGAGGATCCATAAAGTTGGGTAAGTCGTTTACATATATAATGAATAACAATGGCCCCAGAGCTGATCCTTGCGGGACTCCATGTCTTAATAGCTTAAATTCAGACAGACAATTTTCATACCAGACAGCCTGGTAACTATCAGTTAGATAAGACTCGATTAGCTTCAGAGGAGTACCTCTGACGCCGTAGAAATGAAGTTTTTCTATTAAAATATCATGAGAGACACAGTCGAAGGCCTTTGAAAGATCACACATCGTTATAGAAGATTTTTTGTGCTTCTCGAGGCCATCAACTATGCCACCCACTACATCCAAAAGTGCAAGCGTTGTAGAGCGATCTTTTCTGAAGCCATATTGTGAATTGTTGAAAAAATTATTGGTCTCGAAGTATGATATTATACGTTTCTTGATGATTTTTTCGATTATTTTACTGAATATTGATATGATTGAAATCGGCCGATAATTATCCACAATGTCAGGATCTCCCTTTTTGAAAATTGGAATAATTTTGGAATATTCAAATAAACTTGGGAATATTCCAGTTGAGAATATACTATTAATGAGTTGTGTCAAAGGTTCAATGATTATTTCACAAGTGTTTTTTATGAAATATGAGTTAAGTTTACTTGTATCCAAACATTTTGAATTTTTCAATGAATTTATAACCTGATGCACTTCTTGCTGAGTAGTTGGTAACAAAAAAACTGAACTTGAGGGAGCTGGGAATTTCTTGAAATTTGAAATTGCGTCGTTTGATGTATTCGGAAGTGTTCTCACGATATTCTCAGCAACAAAAAAGTTATTGAAATTTTCCGAGGATATATTGCTAGTTACATGGGAACAATCATCACTTCTATTGCGCTCATAATTTATTATCCTCCAACAGGTTTTGGACCTATTTTCTGAAGTCAATATTAAATTATCATAAGCTAACCTCTTTGCATTTTTCAACTCAGAATTGTACCACTGTTTATAATTTTTATTAATGTTGATATACTCCGAATTCTTACTCAGATCTGCACGTTTTTTATATTTTTTGAGGAGACTTCTCATATTTTTCAATTTATTATTGAACCAATTTACCGGACTTTTTTTGTTGTTGACAACAAACTCCTTCAATGGAAAGTATTCGGCTACCGCATAACTATATTTGTCGGTTAAAAACTCAGCCAAATAATTAACATCAGAGTTACTATCGAAAACGTTCCAGTCCAAAGTGGATAAGAAGTTTCTCATTTTTTTAATACCTATATTACTTAGCGCTCTGCCGTATACACTAGATTTCAACTCGCTTGAATTTTTTTGAACAACAATATATTGACCTCGATTATCCGAAAGGCATGGTTCAAAGATATTGGCTTGAAACTCACTGTCTGCAAAATTAGTTAAAATATTATCTATGCAAGTTGCAGATGTAGTCGTTACTCGAGTAAAGTCCTGGATAGTAAATTTCATATCGAATGATGACAATATAGAGCTGAACTCATCAAGATTTGCGGATTTAACTATAAAATTTAGATTAAAATCTCCCATGACTATAATATTTAAAGTTGGCTTAATAATGTCCGCTAACAGATTTTCAAAATTTGTGAAGAAAGACTTAAAATCGGTGCACAGACTAGATCTATACACTGCTAGCACAACAGTGTTAATATCTTTCAGAAGAATTCCACAGATTTCAGACGTTTGTTCGACATTAAATTTATGGCAGTTTATTGGTTCATAGTTAAAATTATTTTTAATGTATATAACTGTACCACCATTTCTTTTGTTTTCTCTACAAAAACTGCTAGCAAGTATATACCTATCAATATTTATACTTTTGAGATTCGCTTCAGTCTGCCAGTGTTCCGAAAAGCAAATGATGTCGAAGTTGAATTCTGACAAGAAAAGTTCAATCATCTCTAACTTGTTAGAAAGGCACTGTACATTAACATGAAACATACTCACCCGATTTTCATGATTCATAATAGTTTTTAGGTTTTCAGGATCTTCTAATTCCCGTTTGTTTCCGACGTCAATATGTCCTTTTTCATTAGTGTTAACTTATCCTTGCTTTTGACAAGTTTTCAGTCCTTGATTCATTACTTTTTCTCTTTCCTGCTCGAAAAAAGTTTTTGAAATTAAATTCCCTGAGAACCACACCGTTTGGCCACGATTCCGGTTTCAATAATAACTCGAACAAGGCATCGGATGGAACACCTACACTAAACGCAGAGTTTGAGCCCTTAGTTGAAAGTTTTTTATCACAAAATCCTCAGTGCCTGTCGAATCTATTAAAAATTCTTTCATGTCTATTTCTGTTACGTCTTGTCCATAGATTTTGCCCACATATACCCATTTCCTTTTAATAACTCCTTTAACTTTAGAAGTTGGATTTACTTCTTTAGACCCTGTGCATATAACCGGAGGACGTTTATACGGTTTTCTTTTAACTAC